GCTTGGGATACTCAGACTCCACATCACTGATTTTCCCTTCACTGAGAAGCTGACCTGCAAGGCTGGGACATTTGGTGCCGCTTGGCACTGGGTCGACATTGGTGCTACAAGTGGGACACTGTTGATGGGAAAAAGTCAGCAATACTATGGACAATTCAGCAGGGGGAGCAGAAGGACTCTGTGGTGCTGAAAGATTTTTCAAAACACTGTCTGAAAGCTAGGTAGCAGTTACACTATGGATAGGAAGCAGCTGTTACCCTGAAAGGAACAGGATGGAGGTTTTTGTATTGGTCTGTATCACTGTGAGAGGTGAGCTGCGAGACTGCTGACAATAATAATCTCCAGCATCTTCAGCTTCAACCTTACTGATTGTGAGGGTGTAATCAGTGCCAGATCCGCTGCCGCTGAACCGCGCTGGGACCCCGGATTGCAGGGTAGAAGCAAGATAGATAAGGAGCTTCGGAGCTTGTCCTGATTTTTGTTGGTACCAGGCTAAGTAGTGATAGCTACCACTGGTGAGGCTTGAACTGGCTTTGCAGCGGATAGTGACTGTGTCTCCAGGAGACACTGCCAGGGATTCTGGAGTTTGAGTCATCACAATCTGCCCATTGGAATCTGAATTAAGAAACAGAATATAAATTACTATGTACATGTATAGTCTCTCTTTCTCTCATATATGTGAAGATTATAGTTAATCAAAATAAACAATACTTTGATTTTATAAACTTTCCCACGTGCCTCTTTACATACGTATGATAGCATCATTGTCAGAGGATGAACTAACATTAAGTTTGAGGTGGCTGTTTCATTCCAAGCTATCTTCAATTGCTTGTATTTCCTTTGCAGTTCCAATGAAAAGGAGAGACCCTTCTCAGAAGTTTGTCACTAACTAATGTTTATGGATTCACACACAACATTCCTAGATCTGTAAAGTTTTTCTATGGATCACTGTAGCTGAAATCATCCCATGCCCCCTTCATTTGATTCTTACCCTGGATCCAGAACACTAACAGCCAGATAAACTGAACCGGAGAGACCATCTTGCTACGTCTGACTGGCGTGATGCAGATCAGCAAACTGTAACCAGCGACATGGAACATTTATACTGGCCCAGAGCGGCAGGGCAGCATCACCTGGGTGTGAAATATGCAAACTTAGTTCAGAGAGAAAAAATCCCAGCTGTCCTAAACACGTGCAGAAAAAGGGAAATGAGAGGCCGTGGATGAAATAGGCAAGTTCAACCTGTCTGGCCCTGGGAACGCATCCTCAACTTTCATTAAAATGGCAGTTCTGTTAATAGTGATGATGGTGTCCCGAGGTCCCGGTCTTGATCAGGACCCTATTTTGTTGGGTGCTGAACTACCCCATATTAGGTTACGGTCCCTGCACCTCACTTTGTGTTGAAATGGCCTGTGTCAGGGTGGAAGGGGAATACATGTTCTCAGATCATCAGTATTGCTTGGTAGCTCATTGAAAGTTTAATAAACTGACAATCTTGTAACTTGCTAGAATTAAGTTTTTGGTGCTAGGAAGTGCGTTTTATTTTGTTTGTAACCATACCTGTCTCTGTTCCTCTTGCTTAGTATCATGTAAATCTCTGTTCTTGGTTATTTCAACTAACTTTTAGTTTTACTACAAACCATCTCAGTGCTGTTGCATTGAAGTGTAGAGTGAGTCCTCAG